AAATTTCAAAGAAAGAAGAATGCATGGTGATAACTTTGAAGAAGCAAACAGACTATTTTCCATCTTTACAACACAGTGTTTGAATTTAATGAAAGCTACATTGTTTGACTTCATACAGGTCTATTTATTGTATCACTGCAGAAACTTGCAACCGACAGTGACCACAACACGTCCTTTTGCTGCCTACATAAATATGAAGATTGGTCTTAAGTTTGAAAAAGGCTTCTGACAGAGGAATTGTAAAGAACTAAATGTATACCACTTATTCTCATAATATCGTTTTTGAATATCAATGAAAAAAATCTTGTGCTACGTACATAGTATGAGAAATCTCGGATACACCTTGATGAGCTAGTATAACATAAATAGATGATCCTCATCATCATCTATATCGCCTATCATCTATATTTTCCTTTATAAGAAATTCCTGTTTCAACTGTTAGTCAATCATCTAATATATTTTTATCTACTTTTCAACAGCAACGCCACCTCACACATTTCAGTGAGAAGACCATATGCATAGAAGAAAATCTGAAGGATAGTAATGAAATAAATCTGTGTAACAGGGGATCTGTTAATGAAAATTTACATGAGTTGGAAAAACCAGTTCTCGCTCACATATTTCCTTTCAGACTTGTGGATGTTCTAATATAATCACTCTTTGAATACTAAACAGCAACATCACCTTCACATTTCTTGAACCTTTTGAAGTCATGACTGAAGAATATGGCTGTTGCTTTTACAATAAAAGTTAATGAAGTTAATGTTGTTGTTACAATAAAAGTAACCGTACTTACTCGAAACTCTTTTATTTTCCACGTTCGATTCTAAAATTTGATAGAATCTTATTAACAGGTATTTTGATAAATAATGTTCCAGAATGAGCGGAAGGATTTTTTATTATCATATCGTACATAATAAGTACACTTTTTAAAATGAGCAGAAGTTTTGTTGTGTTTTCGCACATTACAGTTGTTAAACTTTTCATCGGATGAAAAATATAATTTATTTATCGTCTTCGTGCTTTCCAGATCTGGTATACAGAAGACTTATATCACAGTATATAATTATATGAGACATTATATCACAGGATATAAATATATGACAGATCTGGTAGGCAGAAGAGTATATCACAGGATTTAATTATATGACACATTATATCGCAGGATATAAATATATGACTGATTTGGCAGACAGAGGAATATATCACTGGGTCTAATTATATGACAACATTTCAAAAATTAATGAAACCTTTATGAAAAGAGAATAAAAGAGCCCTTAAACAACTGGCAGTTGCGAAATTAGTATGGGGTAGTGATACGTATACGTAATAAATACGTTATATTCGGCCCCTTGCATTGCGCTAGCAAGAGTCCCGAAAATTTATGTTTTCAACTTGCAGTTATTCTAATATTTTCGGAAGATGTACTCGTTTTTACTCATGGTCGCATATCATGAGTTAGAAAATATGAGGTCGTATGAATACTATGAGGTCGCATATCATGAGTTAGAAAATACTGTTTTAGGGCAAAAATGAAATGGTGTATTCTTAAAACGCATGCATTCTGTCTATGCGTCTAAAAACTATTTAACTTTTAAAATTGTGCCAAGTCTCTTCTTATGTAAATGATTCTATATTTTCATATGTGTCCTCAAATTTCGTGGGATTTTATTTATTTTACTTGTAATGACCAAATAAACTATGACCAAAAACTGTAAAGTAATGACCAAAAAAACATTAAAACCATATTTAAAAATTATACTACAAAATGATAATATAAAATATGGCATAAATAGCGACATTTTTAAAACGATTTTCTGACATAGGTACTTAAAATAAAATAGAACGGAATACAGTTACTAAAAGAAATGCAGTTTCTTTTAGTAACTGTATTCCTGTAACTGCATTTTAGTAACTGTATTTTTTAGTAACTGAAATGTTTTGCAGCAAAGTAAATTCATTTCATATTTTGTCAAAATTACTACTCAATTTTTCGAATATTTCGGAATCCCTCTTATGGTACTTTGTAGTATATAACATCGAACAAGTATGATGTTTCTTTCGCATACATTAGGTGTTGGTATTGGATACAAAATTAATACACCGTTGGACGAGCCAATATTTTTTTCTCTTTATTTAAAAAAAATATAAATATATCTTGATTTCAAGGGAAGTTTTTTAAATTCCTCTTCTGTACCCAGAAAATATAAATAATATTCTGATATTTAACTTCCTATTGAGAATACTCATTAAACAAAGTGGATAGTTTCAGTACTTATTCTCTATTAGTATTTGCAGTTTCTAAGCTTTTATGTTTACTAATAAAAAAAAAAAATAATCCGCCCAGCCGGTATGGTGGCTAGTGATACTGACTGCCATATCGAAGGCCTTGGGGTTCGAATCCCGGGAGAAGGCTTGGTTGTAACCCTCGGTCCTTTCATAGGAGGTAACGCTGGCCACCTATTAGGTGCTTCCATAATGAAATGACCACCACTTTCAGCCCTTGTAGTGGCGCAAGGTTAATGGCTATTAAATGAAGCCCAGAGCCATTAAAAAAGTAACTAAGTAAATAATGTAGCCCATAAAAATAAATAACGTATGCTAAAAAAAAAATAAGAAATATGGGAAACCCGTGATAGTGTGAACCTGAATGTTAAGTAAAATTCAGTGATAGGTTTAGGCTGAATTTATACATAATGTATCTTTTTAAAATTTATATAAAATATGTATTTGAAGGGATTCGTAAATGCATTAGATGCAAATTTATATACTGCATGATGTTAATCTATTATATACTAAGATAAACTGGGCCCAAAATAAACCGAACCCAAAGCAAGAAAAGTCTCCTTTGTGCGATTCAGTTTACCTTGTGCGATTCGGTTTATCTTTGTGCGATTCGGTTATTATTAGGTTCGAGATCTGTATGCATAAATAAGAATTTGTACTTGCATTTTTCAGTAATGAATTGAGCGAGTTTGATAAATCATCAGCTTAAATATTTTTCAAATTTAAATGTGTTTTCAAATCATGTATAGAAACATTGACCTCATATAATCTTAGGTTTCAGTCTAAGTTTTGCATAAAAGTGATACCAACGACAAGTTACATTCTAAATAACTGAATATGATTTTAAATCATGCTTAGAATATTTTCTCAAATTAATTACATGTTCACATGGAGAACTGCAAATATATAAATAAACTGTTACTCATTAATTTTAAATTTAATGCGAATGACAGATACATGCAAATTATGTTTAGAATGTATTTAAAAATGTAAATGCTTTCCCTTTCAATTTCTGCTAAAATAATATTGTGCAGTCGGAGTGTGAAGTCTAGTTGTAAAGTGATTTTTAATATATTAGTTTTGACTTGGTCCATTCATTATAAAAATAAGTAAAACGATTTTTACATTCGGCTTGTACCTTATTAACGAAAAGAACAGAAGCTAAAAAAAGTCACATTTTAGAGAATATAGAAAGAATTTTGATTTAAACAACACTGCAAAAGAGGAAGAAAGACAAAATAGGAGCAAAATATCATATTTCAGCCCATTACGTTAAGAAGTTTTTCGACCAGGCAAGTGTATTATTTTCTATATCATGCAGACTGGGTCACTGAGGTTGTTTATGCATTTTCGACTTGCGTTTTGATTTGTTTTGAACGGGCGTTGGAAAGCAAACATTGATAAATACAAATGTGAGGCAATTTCTTATTCCAAAACACTTAATTACAAATCCTTGCACGACAATAATTCTAAAATTTATGATATGTATTCAGTTTTTTTTGGTCTAAAAGTACAATTACTAAACTAAAAATAATTTAATAAAAGTATTAAAATTATTAAGACATTTTTCAGTGTCTAAACTGTAGTCCTTTGACATTAACTGCATTTTTATTCAAAAACGCTTGTAAATACATTGTGTTCTCCCCAAGTATAAATACATTACTAATTTTTTCCTTCTAATAATTATCACTCTTCAGTTCATTTCAATATAATCTTAATCCAATGAAAATAAATTTCGATCTCACAAGCCGAATATTTTAAATTTTACTGAAACTCGCTGTCTCTGTCTTGTTTCCAACACTCCAGTAATGTTAACCATAATGCTGACTAGTTCAGGGTAACAGTACTGGTTATTTCTTAACCAGTAATATATGTATAACAAAACGCGTTATTAAAACTTGAGTGAAATTCATATATTATTTTAAAATATGTGCCATTGTAAATTTCCTTTGAAATATTACGAGTTTTTAATTTTAACATTTAATTCGAATGAAAATATAGTACCTTATAAAAAACTTTCCTATTTCTTTTGTTTCTTTGTCTATTGAACGTCTAACGGTAATTGTATTGTTTTCGATACGATAAGCTTACCATGTCTCTTACGAAAGATACTGAGAAAAATCAATGTATAACCCTTCTCTCACATAACGTCGATAATAAGAGAAAAGTTAACCAAATCATGAATTTGCCACTAAAATCTGAAGAAATCACTTACGTTAAAATTTGTAAATAAAATGCGTAATATGGCTAGATATGAAGGGATTGAATTAATGCACTTGTTTTTATATTAATTTGTCATGAACTACTTGAATAAGCAATTAAAGCTTTCAAAAAATGCATTCTAATTGTAACAATTTGTCTCTTTTTCGTAACGTAAAGTAATTCCTGTCATTTAACAGCAAAATCTGTCTTTTTAATGCGGATATGAATAAATAATTTTTGGTTTAACATTAAATTTTGAACAGTGCCAGTTATAACCATGTTAAATAATTTTAGTCTGGTTTTATAAATTCAAGTTAAAATATTTCTGGCACTCACATGGTGAATATACCTAAAGCGTATTTATACAGAAATAGGACTGGATGGACCGGTTTTTGGAACTAAAGTATCTTGCGTCAATTGTGCATTCTTCTTAGAATGCTGTAAATCAATGAATACGCTAAAATAAGCTATACCCGCAGAGGCATTGGTAGAATGCGATAAAAACAACGTATTTAAACTCAACGCGAAAACTTGCTTATAGCTATAACAACACCCCGAACTAAAATACTGACACACTGTCCGATAATAATTTGGAAGCCGCATTCCTTTGATCAAGAAACTGTAGAGCAAAGCATTCATACTCGTGGGGAGGTAGAGAGGGTTCTAACTCGTCAGGTGCATCCGTCGTGTGATTGGCTGCTTTTTCTAGGTTGATTTCATATCCTTCTCTAGCCAGGTGATGGGAAACATGTTTCAAGCTTCGGAGCAAAGCCTTCAGATAGAAAGGAAAGAAGAGGTTCTTGAGTCTTCTCAAAAGTTTATTTTTTAATGCTCTTGCGTATGAATAAGAATTAAACGCGTTTAAACTTCAAGATTCTATCTAATTAATAAAGAATTTGTCTACAGGAATACCTCTAAAAACTTAGTATTTATTTATATGTCTAAAAGATCTTCAATCTCAGAATAAATAGCATATTTATTTCCAGAATAAATCAACTTTCTGAAGTAATGTACATAGTGAAGTATCATCCAATTTGCCAGCTTTTAACATCATATACACAGAAAATGTGACATTCTCTAACAGGAATATTTAAATTGTCTTCATGAAATGTTTCTTGGCTGCATGTAAAATTCTTCTGCAATGCTTCGCTGGCGATTAAATTCAAATACCAATGTAGCAGTTCACTAATGAGATACTGAAACTAGATATGCTATAGAGCAGAGGTTTTGCTTTATATTCTTCATCTTGATATTTTGGATTTATCGTCATGTTGCAACTTCCTCCTCCACTGTTTGAGAGTAATCAAGCTCCGTGCCCCCCATGGTCGTCAAATCGAAATGTCGGCCTGGGATGTGGGTCCACTGTCATAAACGGTGTAGTTGGTGGTGGTGGAGGATGTATACGGCCAGAACGTTCTGCAAGAACTAATGTACAAAAGCTCACTTGGAGGAACTCTTACTGGGTTAAAGGGTATTCACATTCAGATGCAAAAATTAGCAGCATGACTATTGCTGACGTAAGTCCAACTGTTGCTATGAGACGAGTTATCCTTTTGTATGAAAATCAACAGTACAGAGAAGCGGCAAATTTTATCAATAGATTACACAGATCTATTTTCAAATCCATTTTAGAAGATCTACCAGTTGACATGTTCGTCGAAGCTATGCCTCAGAGTCTGCCTATCCTCGAAGCTCTGTACGCAAAGGTTTTTCTCTCTGATGGATTAAATTTTCCACTACGACTTTTAAGGCCAGAAAGTGTCATTATGCAGATGGCAAAACTTTTCTCTCACCGTGAGATATTTGAAAGTCAAGAAAATGTTCAAAATCCAATTGTCTTGTCGTGCAAAAAATTAATCAAGGTAAGTGAAACAACTGTATAGTTCTTTAAATTTAATGCATACTCATGTATTGTATTATACAATAAGGAGTAGTTCTTACGATCTTGATCAGAAATTTACCTTTGTCATATTATTATATTGTTGCCATAAGAAATATTTATTATAACATATGTTTAACTGAGCTGTTATAACACAGTAATTTTTCGATTTAAGGATTAAATATTAAAGATGGAAATTTCTGTAAAACAATTTATATAAAATAAATAAAAATCGAATCTTTTTTTTTTCTTTTATGTTTAATAAAATAATTAGTAATTTTAAACCTTTTACTCAATATATGGTTTTTGTAAATATTTTCCAAGTAACGGCAAAAGTAATTTATGCTGGCTCTTTAAAAATAGCTCCATAATTTACGATTGAAATGATAACCAAACAATTGCTGCTAACTCTTTACCGGCAGACCAAACAATAAAGTCTCATTTCCCTCAAAATCATAATTATTTATTATAAGTGTTTATTAATTATTATAAGGGTTTTTATGATTCACAAAGACTTAAATTTGTAAAGGATGTTTAATTCATACTACTAAGAACTTCTCAATTTTCTTAATAGAACTACCACCTCTAATATAATAACGATTCAAAGCATCCATAAATTGTATGATCAAACTAGTTTCATTTTCTGTTGGATTTCTCCTGAATTTATGAACTGAACTATCGGAAGTTCTCTTAGAACTCACATGAAAATTGCAGAGTAAGTCTTTTATTTGTAATAAAAAAAAGCAAAACTAAATTATTAAAACCTGAAGAGAAAAAACCTAATTGCTATCGCTGTATTCCTATATGAAGTAATAACAGATAAACTTACTCCTAGACAATTTAAGTCTTTCTGGTCTACTATTCGCAGAATTTGTACTAAATATCTTTTATGAAAGGTCACATGTCTCCAGAAGGGTCACTAAAGTCAAATAAATCATCCTAGCATGGAAGATTTGCGATTCCTTCGCGCTACTATTAATTTGTTTAGTATTTTTAACGTATGAATCCTTCCATAAAAACTGCATGTAAACAGACTGAGGAGGTGGCAGACTAAATCATTTATTGGTTAAGAATATAATTTCTGGGAGAAGGATTAAATTTTATTCTGTGATTTATATATCATGAATACAATTTTTATTTAACATGTTCGTATTAACATTGATTTATTTTATATTTTCAATGTTAAAATATTTTGTAACAGAATGTAGAGATGAATTATAACAAATTTTTATCTGAATTATCAATTGGCAACATGTGCTCTGGAAAAAAAGTATAATTTCTTCAGAGATTTGACAAATATTTTTTTAATATACAGTAGCTTGTTTTATTCCAATACTTTTAAAATGCCTCGCTGAATATAATCCGAGCATATTTTAAAACACACAGGCAAGCTGTCTGTGACTTGATTCGCTTGAGACTATTATGCAAGCATCATTCGCAAAACTGTTAATACAGAAAATGTTCCGTAAATTGAGTATTTAGATAATTAGCTGCTTATTGTATCTCTAACATTATGAAATTTGGAGCGTTAATTAGACATTTAGAATTCCGTAAACTGATTATTGGTCTTAAACTATTCCTGTGCCAAACAGTGTCTATCTAATAATTAAAGTATCAGTTTAAATATGAATTAATGTCAATACTGACATTTACTATACAGTCAAAATTATAGTATCGAATATATTTCATCCTTAACTTTATTATACATATTCTTTGTAGTTTAACAAAATGTGTCAGTCTGATATTTTTTACAGTATTCTTTGCAGTCTGTCAGTCAAAATAAATTTTAAGCATTGTTGACATGTTTTAGAGCATTTATAAGGTATTTCTCCCAATTTCTTGACGTGCCTTCGTGGTGTGGTGGTCTGCACACTGGGCCGGTATTCCAGAGGTCCGTGTTTCGATTCCCGGCAAAGGCTTTGTTAATTTTTAATCTTTCCTGCTTCCAAAAAAGTACCTAATATTTCTACAGTGGCGTCCGAACTAAAAGGGTGATGGATGATGATTCTCCTCACCCAGGATTTGGCAATTGGGTCCCCTAAATACCCCAGTCGCCCTTTAAAAGGGGAAGTATATAACGTATTTCTCCCGCCTTCCTAGCGGGCCTTCGTGGTGTAGTGGTACTGCACGCTTGGCCTGTATTCCAGAGGTCAGTGGTTCGATTCCCGGCGAAGGCGATTGCTCATTTTTCATCTTGCCTGCTTCTAAGAAAATACCTAATATCTCTACACATTTACAAGATTCTATCTGCAATGGAACTACATACATATGTTAAATTTATTCTAATAATATATGTATAGTAACATCTTTAAGTATAGTAATTTCATTCGGAATTCTATTAAAGTATAATTGCTTGTTAGAGATTTTATGATTTTTTTCTCTCAGAAAAGATTTTAGAAGCTTAGTAACTTTTAAAAACTCTAGTTATCACACTGTTCATTTTAAAAAAAAACCTAACCTAAGTTACTATTCCTTATGTTCTAGGTTATAGTTCTCTCAGAGCCGCGATTGAAGAAACAAATGATAAGCAGGAAAAGGGCTCTGGAAAAGGCTGTGGAAGGGTTAGGCCAACATGGACTTGTTGGAACTTCAGACAAAACTCTTATGAACTTGCACGAAGCATTAAAAGTTGAATTTGAACGCGCTATTCACCAATACAAGATAGCAGTACAAAAATTAGATGAGCTGTGTCTTGCTCCAAGGCAACTCGTGACGCGATCTTTATCTTATGGACCAGCTCCAACAAAAGCTAGCCACCAACGACAACTGAGTCTTCGTCAAGACGAAATTCAAGAGAGGCTCATAAAAAACAAATCATTGTTGAATGTTATTGAACCAACACTTACAGATCATTCTTTGAAACTATTGTTGAAAATACTCAGGAAAAGAGTTGAAATAGATAAAGACATCATTTTCCAGTTTACTCAGTTGAAGAAGGAGGTGAAAGATGTTAGTCCAGATGCTGTCGTTGCTGCTATCCTTATGAAATATTCGAAAGGTTGTTCGAAAGTGTTAGAGATCATGAAAGAACTGGGTGATGATGCCGATGACGACACCAGTAGTAGTGACATATCTGGATACCACAGTGATTCTGATTCTGCTATTGCAAGTGGTAGCCTTCAGAGCCGAGGATGTAGAAGATACAATCTCATGTATCGTTCAGGTTAGTTTTTTCCCATTTTCTCATATGTTCTCTGTTTTTTTTTAGCAAAATTCAAAGCATATTGCTAATTCAGACTCGAAGCTGAGATTTTAACATGGGATACATTTTATCTGTATCTTATGATAAATCTATGATAAATTCCATTTATATTTTCTTGAAGTTCTTAGAATAGTATCGATTATCGTTGCATACTTAAAATAATGTACTTAAAATTCGAACTTTGGTATCTAAATGTCATGTAATGTATTCTCCCAGTATTTCAATTAAATAGGTCTCAGATTCTTAATTTAGTTATTATCTGATCAGATTTTTTTATTTATTTCTATGGATAATTTTCCCTGACCTCAAAAGAAGATGTCTGAAGATTCAATACTAAATACATTGGCAACTATTAGAGCAGTATATCTTATATTTTTTTTTTTTTTATTCTTGTTGCAAATCATAAAATATTATTTTCTAGTTTTGGTCTATATCCGCATTTATTGATAAATCTAGCAAATATATTGAAGTCCCTCATTATTTTAAAAACAGAATGTAGTTTAATAGTGTAATGCAAAAAAAAACAGAATATGGTGTAAAATGTAATAAAAGTATAATATTTGCATTGTACTTGATAAGTTCTGAGCATTACAAGGGCAGATAAGCATTTATAATAACGTTTAGGGATTTTTAATGTTAAAGGCTATAAATAGGTAATTCTATTCAAGTAAATATGATGTATTCTTTCTTTAATCATAATAATATGATATTATATAATCATAATAATATGATCATAATAATATGATCATAATATATTAATCATAAATAATATGATCATGTATTATAATCATAATAATATGATCAGTATTATTAATCATAATAATATGATCTATTCAAGTAAATATGATGTATTCTTTTCTTTAATCATAATAATATGATATTATATAATCATAATAATATGATCATAATAATATGATCATAATAATATGATCATAATAATATTAATCATAATAATATGATCAGATTTTATAATAACGTTTAGGGATTTTTAATGTTAAAGGCTATAAATAGGTAATTCTATTCAAGTAAATATGATGTATTCTTTTCTTTAATCATAATAATATGATATTATAATCCTTTTAATACCACTTTACTACTTCCAATGTCTCCTTTTCTTGGTTACACGAAAACACTCAACACCTTTTAGTTACACAATTATTGCTCTGATTAAGCTAAAGTTTATCAGGAATGATATTCATTTTCAGATGTTTTTGAAAATTACGCATCTGGCAGAAATTTTTTGTGCATAGTGAAATAAATATAAATCTTTTCAATCCAATGTATAACTGCAAAGTACTAGAACAAAAAGGAGTAAAAATCAAGAGTTAAGTAAAGTAACAACTGTTTTTCGTGCTTGTAATTACAATGCACCTATGCTGAGGTTTCTTCTCTTTAATTAACTATTCCTTAAATGTATCTCTTATTTATTGTAAAAATTATTTCTAAACATATTCAGTGATTCACTGATTTGCATTTTATTTAATTCTTTGTTTATCTCTGTATTTCTAAAAATTGAAAAAAGCAAATTTAAATGCATGTAAAGAAGTAGGAAAAGTCGTTTAATTATATCACTTTGCCTTTAAATTTACCTAAAAGGTAAAAATATTACTGCAAATGATTAAAGTGAGCTTAAAGATTCTAAGGTTAAAAATTGAGGTGTCAGCAAACGGTAAGAATAACTGATACCGTTTCTTAGATGCAAGAAATTGAAGATGGTAGAAAGGCAGTTAAATTTGGAATTTAGCCACACTGCTGCATAATATTATTAGCTCTTAATAACGATCTCTGCTTCTGTCTTCCGTCTTTATGCTCATATGAGTACATGAAACTTAAATTCCTCCTTTTTCTACAAGAAAATGAAATGTGCCCGATTCGATATACAACAAGAGATTTTAATTGAAATATTAGAAATTTTAAAGCAAGTACTTTAATACTACTATGAAATCTTGGTTTAAACTTAAAATCAAACTAGATATCTTTTTGCCCAGAGGCAAGCATCCTAAGAAATAATACCCAGAATTATTAGTGAGAAAAAAATCAAATTATTTTTCTCATAATTTTAAGCTATTTAAAACGTACTCTTTAAAAAATGCAGCATGAATCAGATGAGTGATCTGATTTTAGATGATCATAATACCCGTTAATCAGGTGTTAATATGGAATATATCAACTGCAAAAAGAAAATGTCCGAATTTAAGAATCTTAGAATTTTTTAATTAAGTGGCTCTTCCTTCGCATGGATCAGTCACAATCCAGTTTGTCTTCAGGTGGGCCATGCCACGTTTTTCGATTTTATGTTAAATAAGTTGTATTAGTGTCATATTTACCAGCAATATTATATGTTCCCAAAATACGTATCTAATTTTGTTGAGGATTTAGCGAAAAAAGACATGTTGGAGCACATAAGGTAAGAATTTGATAGTTTTTCGTGTAATTAAATGGAGTCATTAAACTACTTCTAAGTGAAACTTAAATATTTTTTTTCCTTATTTCTGGTATTAATTACACTTCTGAACTTTTATATTTAAAAAATAAATCCATTTAAATTAGGGTCCGATATTTCGATAAATTTCTATACTTGAATCATGACATGAATACCGTAATATCTCTTTTAACCTTCCACTGTATTTCTATACGCAATAACTGGTATTGCCTGAATAAACATTATATAGCCTTTTAAATATTTAACTCTTTCTTTATATAAGTTTTACTTAAATCGTGATAGGACCATTTAAAAAAATGCTAGCACTTTGAAAAGCGCAGGATTATGTCACCACGCATAACAATTTTTAGCAAATCACAGGAACTAGTAACAAGATCCACGAAGCACTTCAGAACAGGAGAATTCATAAACTGATTGATGCCTTGAATGATCAGAAGCAGAGGAGAAGACCATGTCAACCCATACTAGCCCGTAAAATCAAACTTGTGAGAATGAGTGAACACAAGTTCGGATCTACGGGTAGGCATGAACTGACATTATTTCCAGTTTGTCGTGCATTCCACCTGGTACAATCACTTGCTGTAAGTCACATCATTCTACCCTCAGATATAATTTTCTTCTTTCTTTGGATTATGTCTTCATTATTGCCATATTTGATGGAGTACGTCCTGCACCTGGACTTGAGTTCTTCAACTGAATTCAAAAACAGTTCTTTTCCTATCATCAGAATAATGCTGGAATTAATTGACAAAAATTTAAAGTTATGATAGCATTCAGCACTTTATCCTTAAAATATTGTAATAAATTTCAGTTCTGACATATTATACTTATTCTCCAAAAACTAGTCACAAAACCTAGTAAAATTCGATGTAACTGGGAACATTATGGTTGATTGATTGTATAAAGATGTTATTCAGTTGCATATTCGTTATTTCAAAAGTACCGTAAGCAAAATATATTTATCTAAATATAACTGCAATCATTTATTGGTATGCAACACATTTTGTACATTAAAAAATAATTTTTAAGTTATTCAAACAAACGAAACTTACCATAATAAGAAACGTGGCCGTATCTGACCATCATTCAAGCACTGCAATGATGTTTTTTACTTTCAGTTGAGTCCTCAAGGTACATCGGAGGGCAATAATTGATTGCTATAAGTCCAGTATTTCCTTAAGCAGTATTTTTTCACACTCAGAAGCACTGTAGAGTTCTAGAAATTCATGCAATTTCTCTTTGAATATTACGATACCAATTTGATGATCTTTTCGTAAATTTCTTGCTCAGGAAGATTAATGTTCATGTTTGTTTCTGCACTGGATGGTCAAACCATTGAAAGGCTGAAAATATCGACTAAATATACCTAGCTAATAATAACACTATCACCGCGAAATTTTTTTCTTGAACGAGTGTATTGAGGCATGATAGTTTTTAAGTTTCTTCTTAACTTCCGTTACACATGGAAAAAGAGTGGAGAGAGACTTATTCAAAACCTTTCATTGCACTAAGAGGTTATCTTAGAAAGACGTGTGTGGTAAAGTAAGCATATCCTTTGCAGCCTCAATCCAAGATGTGTCAAAAGACTTACGATTCAATATATGACCAATAGGAACGTTAACATTTCTCATAAACCTTTTTTAAATTTTCTGTTGAAAAGTTTTAGATGCGAAAGCATAAACTATAGCTTCATAATCTACTGAACATTTTCATTGACAAAAAGCAATGGCCTTTCAGTTCTTGTCAATTTTGTGCCACCTAATGGCTATCTGAATATAGGATTACCATTTTAATCAGTACTGTTAAAGCTGAAAATTCATAATCTAATTCAACAACAGTTTTTAATTACTCAGATATGTAGTGTAATATTTAACCAGTTGGGATATTGGGTTACTTAGTAATCTATTTTAAAGTGAAATTTTTTAATTATTCAGAAATTTTCACCCACCTCCATATGCTCTCCTTCTTTTACCTTAAGAAACAGAAATATCCAGAAAACATCTTGCTTTATAATTAAACAAAAAACATAAAATCCGAAAAAGCACCGGTTCTCATTTTCTTGTTTGTTTGAATAGCGATGACAATGTAATATAGTTAAGTACCTATTTAAATACAAAAGTACAAAATTTACAAACTTTAATCTCATTTTTTATTAGTCACACCACTGTTTCAGAAGGGAAAAAACAGAATTAATTATTAATGCCCAGAATCAAAACGCTATACAACTGTAATTAATAGCTAAAACAGGACACTTTCGCACTTAAAATTGCGAATGAAGTGTGTAAAACTCGTGTGTTCATTTAAAGAATTATTTGACTATTTAACTAGAACGTTCTGGTCAGCAAAGAATCCTTGGATTGAAATATTCGGAAACAAATTCGCAAAATACTACACATCACTTTTACGCAAGAATTACGGCGTCAAAAGGGAAAGTTACTAGCATTCAAAAGAAATCACAGGAGACAGTGACGCCAAAATGTAATTTTTCACGGTCGGTGATCACGGTATAGCTGCAGGG